GGTTACACAACGGTTGAGTAATTCGTCAGCGTTATTGGTCTGAATGTAAGGATCTAACAGTAAGGACCAATAGTTACTAAGCGCTCAGTAAGCGCTTTGTTTTCTGAACGCAACCACTGGCTGCGTTCAGCAGAACAAAGTGATCAGTGAGCGCTTAGTGATTCTCGCTCCTGATTGATAAATACTTCTGGGTCTATGAAGAATCTAAAAGAATGCTCCAATCACAGACAATAATCACTAAGCGCTCACTGATCACTTTGTTCTACTAAATGCGGCCAATGATTGTTGACATATTTATGTCATACCACGTATATTTCATTTCTCGCCTTTCGTTATGAGTTACTGCGCAGGCGTACTCCGCAGGCGGAGCAGCAGCTCTTATCTTTCTCGAGTCGGGATGCGTCCCGAAAGTCATTAAAAAAAGAGTGACAACCTTTATGTCCGCGATCATACACACTTTTCGCGTGTTATCGACTGCAAGCGTACATACTTTTCGCGCGTTATCGATTGCAAGTTCTACTAATATTATCTTGTGTTAGAAATCTGAAACGGACAACTCTGACGACGACGACGTTTCTTATTTACTTAAAAATTTTCATATTGAAACTATGCATCTTAATATCTCTGCTCCTAGGATAGGATAGAGCAAAAATAAAAATACTTTCATCATATAATTTGACCTCAAGCTATCTGCTAAGTCTAATATGAAATTAACTCATTCAGCCGTTATTGAAATCCGATATCGGCGATGCTTTCCAACTAGACGCATCGCGTATATACGGTCCGCTTCGCCGTTGCTGTGCGTGAACTATAATTTTGCAAGACACGACCCGAGTGTCTCTTAACTATGTCTATGATTATAACGAACGGAAAAATCAGTCTAGATATTATTTATTCTTTAATTAAATGTTTAGTACATTATAGCTTTGTGTATGTGTATATGTGTATGTGATTTTGAAATAAAATGTATATTCAAAAATTCTATATTTATCAAACAACCTAAAAAAATTTAATAGTATATTTTCTAAAAATTAATTTAAATGAATGAAATATTATTTTGTTGTAATAAATATCTAAAAAAGAAATTTTGTATGTAATATAGAATAAAATTATTCTATATTACATTTATGAAATACACTAAACATGGGAACATATTTGTCTAATCAGAATAAAAGTCGAATTAAAAATATTTATATATGGATATAATTTGCTTAAGAATATTTTGCTTCCATAGAATATATATATCTAACGAAATTATCCGTAGATATCTGATTATTATCTGTAGATATCTGGAACAAAAACAAGAGATTTTATTAGAGACCTTATTAGAAAGCAACAGAAGATATCGTTAGTCTAATCAGCAAGTATTTTCATAATATTTATAGTAAAACATATCTGTTGCATAAATTTATCAATAATTTTTTTATTTTGAAGCCGCAAAAATTATCACCAACTGTAAAACCAAATCGCTTCGAAAAATATCGATTTATAATCGATTAACAACTCTCTAAGAAAAAAAAATACTTGACGTTTATGACTATAATTACTTAATGAAATAATTATTTTCAAAAAACTCAGTTTGTAATAAGTGCTACTGCGATAAACATTCCCAGTAAACATAGAGAGTCACATTGCATCATGGTTATAATTTTCTCTATTCATCAATGTAAATGTAATACAACATATATTGCTCGTAACATTTACATTATTGAATAAGGAAATTATATCAATACTACTATTTGATGTCTACTATTGAGTATTATTTATAATAACTTCATGTATACAGGGTGTCCCATTTTAATGTCCCACCCCAAATAACTCTTCAGTATTTCAACTTCAGAAATTTCAAGGAAAATGATTTGAATAAAAGTTGTAGGGATTTAAGTGAGCTACCTTATGATGATCTTGACTTTGACCTTGACCTCTATTTTCAAGGTCATTTGAAGGTCAACTTGCGTTTTTTAAATGGGAATCCCTATTTTTTATTACACTGTTTTTTTCTACCAATTAATTTGAACAACTTTTGTCTAAAATATTTTTTTATTTGTCTCATATTTTTTGAGATATTTGAGGAAAACTTGATAACCTTTTCAATATTTAACTTACGATATCTCACTAATTATTTGTCGGAAGAAAAAGTGGTACTAGACTTTCTTGCTTTATTTAGTCTCAAAAATATATTGTTATAATAGCGCCCTGATTTTTGTTAATTTGATGATTTTGAAATTTCCAAAAAATCAGTAAGTTAACAAAACTCAAGGCGCTATTGTAACAATATATTCTTGAGACTAAATAAAGCAAGAAAGTCTAGTACCACTTTTTCTTCCGACAAATAGTTAGCGAGATATCGTAAGTTAAATATTGAAAAAGTTATCAAGTTTTCCTCAAAAAATATTAGACAAATAAAAAAATATTTTCGACAAAAGTTGTTCAAATTAACTAGTAAAAAAAACGGTGTAATAAAAATAAGGGTTCCCATTTAAAAAACGCAAGTTGACCTTCAAATGACCTTGAAAATATAGGTCAAGGTCGAAGTCAAGGTCATCATAAGGTAGCTCACTTAAATCCCTACAACTTTTATTCAAATTATTTTCCTTGTAACTTCAATACTGAAGAGTTATTTGGGATGAGACATTAAAATGGGACACCCTGTATATTACTATTACTGTTACTACTTATTAAAACAACAAAAGTGTTATAGACATTAAAAAGTAGTACAATTTTTAACGAAGTTAACAATTTTTCTTTCATTGTAGCAGAAGAAAATTCAAATAGATAAACAGAAAAATATCAAGAGAAAAAAAGGGAGAAAGAAAAAAGGAAATAGGGCAGAAAAATGAAATAGTAATGAAGAAGAAAAACGCATTGTTCTCTCATCATATTTTACATGATTTTTAATCTTAAAAGATATATCAGCAAAACTAATTGCATAATGAAATAACCGTATGAAATAATTGCATAATGAAATAACTGTAAATAAATGTTTTACGTACTTTTTTCACATAGAAGTCGTCATTGACTTAGTTTATATCGGTCATTTAATATACATAATAACTAATGACTCTATTAATATCAACAATGCATGTAAACAACGGCATACTAATCTGGTATAATATTTACTTTAGTACAAGTCTTCAAGAAAACGTATTATATTAATTAAATACAATGTTGTTCACATACTTCACCAAAATTAAGATAATTTAATAAAAAGTTATTTGTTGGTACGTGTATTAGATGATCGATGTAAACTAACCATTTATACACAAAATTCGGGGCTACATCGCGAGAGAGTGTCTGTCAGGACAACACATGCGACTACCAACATTTTTTTTGCAGAGATCGCAAGAACAAGTCGGTTTTTGTAGTTGTCGGAGATGGCATTTAGGAGGACATGGGGGCAATTTTAGTTTTTCTGGTTCGCAACAAGGGAGAGCATAAGGATCCTGCACAATATAATCAAAATAATCCTATCTGATATATTCATAATATATCAATGTATCTTATTATTTATTGTACCTGCATTTTTATATAACAACATGATATTGTTTTGGGACAAATTTGACTAGGGGCTATATACGATTGTTTTGCCGTGCATGGCTGATTAATATCAATGTCTTCTGCAGACTCTTCTAATTTTGACTTGATGCATCTTCTCTTTTGTCTCTTTATTTTAGGAGGACAGGCTGATTTAAATTGTTTTGTTCCCCATTCCAAACCTGAATTTACTTTATCAATAATTACAATTTTTCAATAATACTCAGAGTATTCTTAATTAATTCTCATCAAAAAGATATATCGACATCATTAAATTGTTGAGATATATAATTATTATGCAATAATATATTATGATACCATGTGTTTCATGTATATTGATTGCACTATATAGAAAGTCAAGTTTACCGTAACTCGCTAATCGGTCCAGAATAATTTCACATGAAATATCATCCGCCATATTCAAAGTTATAAATTAGATATATTTAAATTTCGTTATACAAAATTATGAAAATCACGATATCCTCGATTTTACATGCATGATGCATACCTCACAATATGACGTGCAAAATTATCGATTATATGATACATCACCACTCATTTAACAAAAGAAATACGGTCGTAAATAGAAAGATTAAGGTACGCACTCAATCCCAAGTTGGGAGACGTTGTCGTGTGGGTCGTGTGTTGTACGCCTGTGTATAATCTTGATTTTTATATGTTGGCTGTCAGTTTTTTTTCAGTAATTGGTACGTACGGTCGCGGACATAAAGGTTGTCACTTTTTTTTTTAATGACTTTCGGGACGCATTCCGACTCGAGAAAGATGAGAGCTGCTGCTCCGCCTGCGGAGCACGCCTACGCAGTAACTCACAACGAAAGGCGAGAAATGAAATATACGTGGTATGACATAAGTATGCCAACAATCATTGCGTTCAGCGGAGAAAACCGCTCAGTGAACGATTAGTGACTAAATAAATACGATTTCACTTAAAATTTAATATACATACCTGTTCAATATCTTGCAAAAAACGCATTCCCATTTGAATGACTTGCACTATATATCTATCCTTCCGCTGCTAATTTTTCAAAATGTAAGAATTGGGTGCGTTTACGACACTCAACGGTTGAGCAACTGTTGAATAATTTGTCAACGTTATTGGTCTGAATGTAAGGATCTAACAGTAAGGACCAATAGTCACTAATCGCTCATTGAGCGGTTTTCTTCGCTAAACGCAATGATTGTTGACATACTTGTCATACCACGTATATTTCATTTCTAGCCTTTCGTGTGAGTTACTGCGCAGGCGTGCTCCGCAGGCGGAGCAGCAGCTCTCATCTTTCTCAAGTCGGGATGCGTCCCGAAAGTCATTAAAAAAAAAGTGACAACCTTTATGTCCGCGACCGTACATACACCTTACTACCTAAAGCTATATACCGAATGAACGAACAAACGAGTCTGACATCATGCTCACGCATACGCACAACGGCTCTCATATAGGAAAAATTCCCGACTTGTCATCACTGTATGGACCCTGCGATGCGTTTTATTGCCGTCATTGGTGTATGCTTTCGTAGAGCTCCTACGTCTCTCACGCATGCGCTGTAGCGTCGCAATATATTGCATTTAGCAACACTGATACCCATAGTTTCTCTCTGCTAGAACAAAATAGTGGTAGTGACAAACGCACGCGAAAAGTACACGTTTCAGAATGAGTTTAAATCCAGCTACAAAGCAAAGAATAGCTATTGTATTAAATATGAGCAAATTTGTATTTCAATGGGGTTTTATTCCTGCTGTTCTTTATTTAGGTTAGTTTTTCTTAGACAAATGAAATCGGTATGCTTTGTACACGATATAAGTATAAATTTGAGTTTAATATTGTAACGTTTCGTTTTTCAGGTTTCAGTAAAGGTGCAGATCCAGGCATGCCGAAGTTAACTTTTATGAAGTAAGTAGTTTTTAAAATTGTATGACTATGCAAAAAGTTTGTTTTCTGAACAAAATATTTTGTATGAGTAATAAAATATATAACAATATATCTGTTTTTCAGTTTATTGTGGCAGTGAAATATAATAAAATATTTTCCATTTCACAAAAATTGTATGTATCATGAATGTTACATAAATATAAGATTGTTACATCATATTTTCCACAAAGCTAAAAGATTATGTATCAATAAAGAAGTCTCATTATATAGTATACAATAAATATGAAAATAATAAATAACTGTTTCTCTAAATATAGAAAAATCCTTTACTAATATTTGTAAAGTATCTAATTTTGTACAACAGTTTTGTTTGTTTTTGATACCATAGTATAAACCTCAAAGGCTATGATATTTGATGCGTCTCATATATTGGATATATAATAGTACTTTGTATTAAATCGATATTAGATACCTAGAAAAAAAATCATATATGACTATAAATAATTGACTACAAATAATATTACTATAAATATGAAATCATGCACATAAGGTCAATCTCTTAAAAAGTCCTTGCCCTTGACATGTATTGTTAAGGACAAGTTCCTGAGTGTTATACAAAAAGTTATAGCTGTCGCTCATTGTTTATTAAAATTATTAACAAACGAAGTTGAATGAAATATATATAATTTTCGAACAATATGCACATATTTTTATTGATTAAGTTATAAAAGAAAAAAGTATAATAACATATAATAAATTAATATAAAGAAATATATCAAAATTAATAAACAAATACATAATATTTATTAATCCAACACAGTACAAATAGTATTAACTATTTAATATAATATTTTGGGCTCATACTATAATACTTTTGCATATAACAAGTGCAAATTATTATTTTCATTTTTTTGTATATTTTTTACTTTACTAAACTGATAATTCTAAAATGATATACTAAAAATGAAGATTTTCGAGAGAATAGCATAGACCTCTATACAAAATTATATTTTACATAATTTAAAATATGATTTAAATTTGGTTTTAGATGTATTGCAAGATATATGAAAATATATTTTTATAAATATATTATTTAAAATGCAAATCTTGCATAGGGGCCTTTACTGATTTTTCAAAAATGTTCATTTTTAGTATATGACTCATCAATTTAGTAAGGCGAAAGATTTAAATACCAGTTTAAACTGCTTATATTATAATGTTCTTTTAAGTTGAAATAATATGTTGACTAGTTTGTTAGTTTTTATTAAAATGTGATAGAAATTATTTCTGTTCTGTTTGGCACATTCTATGTGTACGAGAGTATTGTTCTATTTCAAACATCCTCTAAACTGTCGTCTATACAAAAGCTTAATTATTTGTTTTGATGTATTTATCTCACTTCTTAGTGCGTTCAATCACAGTTTAGCTATCTATTTAGTTTAGTTATCTGTAAACTAAAAACTGATCAATATGTTGCTACATGAAGTTATTTATTTTACTTACAATTTTGACCAGTTACTGAATTATCTCTGCGAGAAAAGTCATTCACAAAGAAATTAAATGTCCACAATGTGAAACATTTTACAATTCCATGTAATACAAAACATATATTTAAATATATGCACATTTATTATGAAATAATCAGTGGTCGTAAATGTAAAAGAGAAAGTGTAACTTCTACCATGAAAAGCAGTAAGTACCTTTCATGGTTCTCTCGTTATCATTTAGGATTACAAAAAGCCTGTCACTTTAAGGGTTACTTTTTAATATTTCCTTCACCAAGACAAATATTTTTACAAAATGAGTTAAACATGAATGCTCATAGTGTTGTAGATTGGACTAATTTCTGTAGAAAGATAAGTGTAATTTATTATTTATAAATAATTCTGAAATGAGAATGTTCTTCGATTTCTCCATATAAAAAAAATAACCTTATGCTTTTTTATATATATCATTTTCTTTATAGTTATTATCCCAGTAGGTAAGGATCATAACATATTGGGTGGACATGGAAAAATTATTGAAATTGATGAAGCCAAAATTGATAAAAGAAAGTATAATCGAGGTCATATTTTACATGGTCAATGGGTATTCGGTGGTTACGAACGCGACAATGGCCGCGTTCAGCAGAAAAAGCTGCTTACTAAGCGCTTAGTAATTATTATTTATGATTGGAGTATTCTTTTAGATCTTTAACAAATCCAGGGGAATGAACCAATCAGAAATGATAATTACTAAGCGATTAGTAAGCAGCTGTTTCTGCTGAACTCGGCCAATGATCGTATATTTGTTCCCGTAAAAGATCGAACTGCTAAAACTTTGTTAAATGAAATGAAACGTCATATTGCTCTTGGATCTATAATATACAGTGACTGTTGTCTATAATATACAGTAACTTATAATAATATTGGTAAAAATAATTACACACGTTGTACTGTTAATCACTGTGTAAACTTTGTTAATCCAAATATAAATTGTTATAACATTGAACGAATTTGGAACGAAAACATTGAAAGAATTTAGCGTGATATTCGAACTACTATTCCACTATACTATACGAGTATATCTGTCGTTTACATATATTACTTAGCCCAGTTTTTGTTTAAACGTCGTTTTCCACACAATGAACATATTAATACATTTTTTACTATCGTGTCACAAATATCCTATCGAAGATATCATATTAGATAACAGTTAATATTATTTATATTGCGCCAGATTAATATATATTATGTACCATTTGTTTATTAATTTTAACATTTTTTATATTAATTTATTTTGTTATTATAGTTCCTTCTTTTATAACTTATTCAATAAAAATATGTGCACGTTGTTCAAAAATTACATATATTCCATTCAATTTCTTTTATTAATAACTTTTTAATAAACAATGAGCGACGACGGCAACTTCTGCATAACATTCGGGAACATGTCTTTAACAACATATGTCAAGGGCAAGGACTTTTGAAGAACCCTAACAGCACAGATGTCCAGAGGACGTCCAGAGTACGTCTTAAAGACGTCCTGGGGACGTTTTTCATCCTCAGGACGTCCATAAGACGTCCCCAAGAGATCATGTGCTGTCTGGAAAGATGACTTTATGTGCATATTTACCCATTTTTACATATAAACATTGTTAAAAAAGTCTCCTTAAAATATTTGATTGAAAACCCATATTAAAATATAAAGGATGGACTAGATTTTTTCGGGAAAGAGTTGCAAATAAGAGTTCTTCCTTTTTTTTCTCTCATATGTACTGTTTAACATTTTTTAATGTACATTGTATGTACAAATTTAATGTACGTTGTAATGTACAAATTCTTAATAAACCCCCTATCTTTCATTACATATTCTTGTAGCTTATCTCGAGGGCTTTCCAAAACACTCTAATTAAATATTTTTTCGTTAGGTATTTTTCGAGTTACAAGACTTAAAAGTTGCAGTACCGCCGGCATTAGTATTACTCAAAGTGTACCGCGTGGAGGTTGCATGGTCGGATCTACACCTCTTTCGTGTATGTGTGTGCGTGTGCGTGCGTGTGTGTGTGTGCGTGCGTGCGTGCGTGCGTGCGTGCGTGCGCGCGCGCGTGTGTGTGTGTGTGTGTGTGTGTGTGTGTGTGTGTGTGTGTGTGTGTGTGTGTGTGTGTGTGTGTGTGTGTGTGTGTGTGTGTAAAAGGTGCACAGTCGATATTGCTATTTTCATTTTTGTATGCGAAAACTCTATTTCAAATTTTAACATTAGGCTGGTACATTGTCAGACTGTTAATGGCCAGCAATTTGAGCATTTATTATGAATGCAAACGCTTAGAAACATGTAGCGATATTTATGCACATTTAAATAAAAATATGTATGTATGTATGTACCACAGACTTATTAGAGATAGACTGCGCGTCCAATGAGAGGACTTGAAGAAAACATTAAAGTGAGAGGATCGATAGCTGAGTGAGTGTGTCTCTGTCTAACATGTGTTTTGGTGGGGGAAGCCGAAGAGGTGAAGGAGAGTAGGAGAGTTGTATGAGCAGTACAACGTTATCTTTTATGTCCTTTTCTCCCCTCTTCTAACACAGAGCAAGAGAGAGAGCCTCACTCACGCAATATCTCTGTCCTCTAATGTTGTCTTCAGCGCGCCCATAAGGAAGCGCAGTCTATCCCTGTAAGTCTATGGTTCGTACCAATATTATCCCCTTCACTTTTCGGGAAAATGAAATCTAATCCATATTCTAGTGTACCAAGTTTTCCAAAAGTAACGGACCCCCCCCCCGTATCTCAGAATTTATGTATTATAGGGAAAAATGACCCGACCAAAAATTGTATGGTTCATGAAGTTGTATTTTTTGTGACCTCAAATTTGACCTTGACTTCGACCTTAAAGGTCATTTGAAGATCAACTTGCGTTTTTTAAATGGGAACCCCTATTTTTTATTACACTTTTTTTCTACCAATTAATTTGAACAACTTTTGTCTAAAACATTTTTTTATTTGCTTAATATTTTTTGAGATATTTGAGGAATACTTGATAACTTTCTCAATATTTAACTTACGATATCTCGCTATTTGTCGGAAAAAAAAATGGTATCAGACTTTCTTGCTTGATTTAGTCTCAAGAATATATTGTTACAATAATACCCTGATTTTTGTTATTTTGATAATCTTGAAATTTCCAAAAGTCAGTAAGTTAACAAAACTCAGGGCGCTATTGTAACAATATATGTTGTAACAATATATAACAATGTAATATATTCTTGAGACTAAATAAAGCAAGAAAGTCTAGTATCACTTCTTTTTCCGACGAATAGTTAGCGAGATATCGTAAGTTAAATGTTGAAAAAGTTTTCAAGTTTTCCTCAAATATCTCAAAAAATATTAGGTAAATAAAAAAATGTTTTAGACAAAAGTTGTTCAAATTAATTGATAGAAAAAAAACAGTGCAATAAAAAATAAGGGTTCCCATTTAAAAAACTCAAGTTAACCTCCAAATGACTTTCAAGGTCGAGGTCAAGGTCAAATTTGAGGTCACAAAAAACAAAACTTTATAAACCTTAAACCTTTTGTTCGGGTCATTTTTCCCTATAATATATAAATTCTGAGATAGGGGGAGGGTTCCGTTACTTTTGGAAAACTTGGTATATGCAGAAGACTATGGATTGCTTTGATAATATTCACGCTTATTATAAATTGCTAGTTTTTATTTTTAAATATACTTTTTATTGTGCAACAGCAAATATTTATGTTTCTATAACCAATATTCTACAAATTAGTCTTATTCTGTCTAGAAGTTTTGTAAATAAAAAATATCAAAACACATTTTTTAGCATTTAATATATTGAACATTAATCATTTATATTGTGTGATACAAACTACTCTAGAATCGATTATTTAACGTAAAATACAAATTCCGACATTACAATATAATCGTAAAAATACATAATTTCATGCAATTGTGAACACTATATAAATTTATTTTATTGAAGCATACATATTTACATATATTTTGCAAAAATGTTGCTACATATGGGAATTACAGAATATCTCTTTTATATCATGTGGATGAAGTAAACATTTTTTCATTGAATGAAGTTATGAAGATAGTTAACTCCACTATAAAATCTATAAAGGTTTGGACATAACGTATAAATATATAAATAATCAAAAATAAATATCAAAAATTGACAATTTGCAACTATTTTACGTCTGTTGGTACATTTGGTTTTGAAAAAATTATTTACATTTATAAAGGATTATGATCTATTTCTTTCTCTTTCTATTTTTTTTTTCATTATGTTGTGTAATATCTCCAGCAATATTTAATGCATCTAAGTAACTATCGAAAGTGTTTTGTATACATCTATCAAAACAAAGTTACATTAATTAACAAGCAATAATGATAGCAAGTCCGAACTATTTTAGCGTTATATAGTATTCCTTAAATATCAATAGAAATGCATAAATGATCTTTTAAGGTAATAATATAAACTATAAGTTATCATCCAACACAGTTATGAATATGTTTGCTGTGATACATATTGTTATAGTGCCGAGTGTGCCATCATTTGCTTATTGTAATAATAAAATTATTTGATATAACATTATTTTCTCAAAGCTGCTCTTAATTCAAAATGTTTTACGGTGGATAGCCCGTACACCATCCTCATCAAATTCTCTTTTACTGACCCACATTTTTTTAAAGGTGTCTAAAGAAGCCAAAATGGAACCACCAATCCAAGTACTATATAACCGTTCTTGAGGCGCGGATATCTGTCATTATAAAATATATGTAATATAAATATCATTTTTTTTTAGTTTTTAAAATTTGTTTTTCTTACCCTTATTTTTATATCTTTTGGAGACATTCTACGAATTTCCGACAATAATCTATCACCAAATCCCTAAATAATAAATGATAATTTTATTATTTGCAACAGGCGCGCACGCGAACACACACATATACATGTTAATTTGTACTTACACGAAATAGTGTTGATCCTCCCGATAAAACAATATTTTGAAATAGAACTTTTCTTAAATCTAAATCGGACTTCTGAATGGAATATGTTAATACTTCATGAAGACCTTCACACTCTTCACCTATCAAATCTGGTCTAAACAACACTTCAGGTGCCCTAAATCGTGCTGGACCAATCTATAGTAAATAAATATATTAAATAATTTTGTAAAATACTGCTTTTTTTTGTTACTCCATGAAAATATCATATTATTTACTACATATAAATAAATTTCTTTTATTAAATTATTTGCCATCTCAAATTGTTTTACATACCTCTAAGTGACTGCCATCAGGCAATATATATTGAAACTTTTCAGTTTCTATTGTTTCTTCCTTCTGAGGATTACTAGCAAGATAACATGCTCTTTCTTTTATCATCCTTACAATTTCAAATTCTGCTGTAGTCTTGAAGTTAATACCTTCCTTCCGTAAAAGTAGCCTAAGATGCCTTGTAACATCGCGTCCTGCTATATCAACTCGCATTATACTGTGAGGCATAGCAAAACCTTCATAAATTGGTACAGCATGTGTAACACCATCACCAGCATCTAGAACTACTCCTGTAGTTCTACCAGTTGCATATCTATTAAAAAATAACAAATATAATTTTTGTTACACACATAAATATACATGTGTTTTGTACATGCATTCTTTTACTATCATTCAGAGATTCTAATATTAAAAAATTAAAGATAATGTAATTTTGTTGTGAAAAATTACTTACAAACTAAGTACAGCTTGCATAGAAACAAACAGAGCTGGAACATTAAAAGTTTCAAAAAATATTTCTGCTGCTTTTTCACGATTTTTTCTAGGATTTAAAGGTGCTTCTGTAAGTAAAACCGGATGCTCTTCACTAAACGTAGCTAATTGATCTTTGCTATATACATAAGACCAAATATGTTCCATATCATTCCAATCTGTTACTATGCCATGTTCCATAGGATATCGGATAGACAGAAGGCCACGATGTTCCTCTGCTATTGGACCCACAAATAGATCACCTTCCAAAGCACCAGCCATAACACGTACATGTTTTGGTCTTCCAATACTGAAGATAGGGATTATTTATCAAATGTAACATTAATCATACCAATAATACCAAAATTAACATTGTTTTATTTAAAAATATCATTATAGGTAAATTTTACAAAAACAACTGATTTTCAAACATTTTGATTAATTTTAACTCTGTAGTGTCTTTATATGTCACAAAAATATAAAAAATAAACCAGTAAGTTTTCTAATGGTATTCAAGTGAAATAAATCATTTGATATATCACTATAATTTGTTGCCTGTCAAGAACTTTTAGAAACAATGGATGCTATTATAAATATTTATACATTGTCTTTGATTAAATGCTTACTAATTTGGAAATCTGCATTTTGGTATCTGACCACCTGCAAATCCTGCCTTAATTACACCAGATCCCTAAACAGAGCAAAAGTAGATATGTGGGACTCTATGTATTTTAGAAGAAAACAAAAAAAATTTCATATTTTGAAATCATTATCAACAATACAGGAAAACTCTTAACACTAGACATTATTCTGCTAGGAGGATATTGATACGAGAAAAAGAAACAAGATCAAAAATGGAAACATTTCCTATTTTTTCTTTCTAATTGATCACAATTGATATTGCTTTCGATATTAATGGATCAACATAATATAATAAAATATGAAACATCATCGTAGTTTAGGTGCGGAAAGATACGGACAGCAGTATATAACACTTACATTGTCAATAACTACCGGCTGATTGACAATCACGTCATACGGCTCCATTATATAAAATAAAAATGTCCACACGGCTCTATTTAAATCAAAAACAGATAATAATTATAATCCTACACAATTAGACAAATCTCTCAAGCAAGGTGTCAGCAGAGAATCAGCAGCAATCTGTAAGCAAGACAGATATGCTCAAACAGCTTTCACGAGGCTAGAGTAACTCTTCCTATCACTACCAGATGGTGCCGATATCAATAAGCTTGTGGAGCCTTCAGGGTACCTATTATGGAACTCGTCGGAATCGATTCCGATCGGAATAATTCCGTTTCCCCTAGAAAAGACAATGGCCGCGTTCAGTAGAACAAAGTGATCAGAGAGCGCTTAGTGATTATTGTCTGTGATTGGAGCATTCTTTTAGATTCTTCATAGACCCAGAAGTATTGACCAATCAGGAGCGAGATTCAATGGAAAATCTAGTAATGTCCAACTGTTGAGTCTGCTGAATGCAGCCTTTGGCTGCGTTCAGAAAACATAACGGTTACACAACGGTTGAGTAATTCGTCAACGTTATTGGTCTGAATGTAAGGATCTAACAGTAAGGACCAATAGTTACTGAGCGCTCAGTGAGCGCTTTGTTTTCTGAACACAACCATTGACTGCGTTCAGAAAACACAACGGTTGAGTAATTCGTCAACGTTATTGGTCTGATCTAGTAAGAATCTAACAGTAAGGACCAATAGTTACTAAGCGCTCAGTGAGCGCTTTGTTTTCTGAACGCAGCCATTGTAGACCACGTTTTACAGCTATTGTAGACGAGCCTTTACTCTTACAGCTATTGTAGACGAGCCTTAAGAGTTTGCATGCCCTGAGTGCACCTAAAAAGAACAGACCACTTGACTCTTGTAGACCTTTAAAATTTGAATGATCGTCGGTTATATGTTCGTTGTCATAGAATAGATATGTCGTAATGTTTGCGTACTAATGTGAATATTATCTACTAATGAAAGCACCATAAAAGTGTTTTACTGTGTTTCATAGAAGACAAGTACTCAAGAGAAAAAGGAAATCATTACTTATTACTTATTATTATAATAATAAAGGCAAGTAACCTGTTAAACACTGCTGCTTGCACGAAAATCTGCAAAGACAAATACATAAGTTAAGTGAATAGTTTCAGCAACTTTTTTCATTTACTTTGTTTCAGTGCTCGACGCAATGTCCGACACGGCTAGCGACAGTACCAAGTACAAATGGACTCCCGAAAGTACCGCACTGTTAGTTTCGGTATGGTCCGATCGACAGGTGCAAAAGCAACTCGAATATGCCCCACGGCCGCAAGTGATTTGGGAGAATGTTGCGCGATATATGTGTAAGAAAGGTTATAATGTTGAAGCTAAACATTGTCGATCACGCATGAAACAGGTACTGGTGTGCTATAAAGAAGCCAAGCAGGCAGGGACACGTTCCAGTTTGGAGCAGTATTATGAAACTATAGACAGAGTGATGAAAAATAAACGTTTGGAGCAGGTCAATATTAATGGTATAGACACAGTAGGTAGGTATAATTTTTCAATCACAAAATAAAATTTAAAAATTTAAATAATGTGTGAAAATTATTTAGCATATTATAATTTATATCAGTTCAAGATATATTAAAAGTAGAATTTATTATTTACGACTATATTCTTTGAACACATATATCACTTAAATATAGGAATATATAAAAAATAATGTATTGATATTGTATAACTATGATTGTGTAACATTATTAGATGCAACTGCAAATATGAAGTCACCTCCAAAAGATGTAAAAACAAACAAGAATTTACAAATGAGATTGAAAGTTCAAGAACCTGTGCAATCTTTCTATCGAACAGATGCTCTGTCTCCTGTATGGGTGATAGGAGGTAAGAGAATTTTTTCTTACAAATAATTTCTCTATATTTAATATCATTTACAATATTTTTTTTCTTTTGTAGGTGAAAATGAATATCCAGATTCACCTGAATCAAACGAAACTATAATAGCTAAGCCATATAGAGTTTTTTCACCTACAAGAGATGTTGCTATAAATACTAAGCCACACTTGACCCAAATTAGCAATCAGATGATACAAGCAAATTCAGCCATTATAGAGGAACCAATACGGGAAAATTGCCAACAAAATTTATTGTCCCCTTATTCATATGGAGAAATTCCTTATCAAAACACAGTACAGAATGTACAAAACCAGATCATCCAGGAAAATATGCAACAGAATATTCAACAAAATCAAGTATGGAATCAGTTACCACGACAAAAAGTGCTAACAAATGAACATAGTCACCAGCAGAATATGCTTAATCATGTGAATCGACATTTACCAAGCAACACGATGCAAGGTAACACAATGATCCAAAATTCTAATACAGAGAAGATTATACACCAGCAAAATCAACCACAGCAAAATATGCCATATATGGACAATCAAGCAATGCCTCAAGAACCGCGTAAGATTAGTTTTGGACAGAACTTACAAACGGACAGAATATATAAGCAATACAGAGATATCGTACCTCGTTTAGTTCGTATGACTGATGTCAATAGTAAAAACTTTGATTCTCTATCACCAGATTATTCATTGGACATGTCACAGAACTTGAACAACGCTTTCTGTCAGTCAAAGAGTGATGAAGAAACACACAATTTAAACGAGACATACAGCCAATCTAATCACTTGATGCAGAATCCTATATTAATACCTAATGCAGACGCAACTTTCATGACAAACAATGCAACATGTAACGATGACTCTCTACTATTGGAATATTTATCAGATTCACCAATTTCATCTGAGAATATTGGAAAATCGAGAAACAGTGTCATAAATTCAGATAATGCACCAAATGCACCATTCAGAAAGAAGAAGGCACAAAAATTAGAGCAGCTTGTTCTCAGTGCAATTAATTCCCAAAATGAGGTTGTTAATAAGGTAGAATGTTACTTTATCATCACATAAAATATCACAATACAGCATTTTGTTATATTTTCATTTCCTATTTTTTCATTCTTAATATATTTTATATTTTCCTTTTTGTTTCCTGTTTTTGTGTTATTAAATATAGATCATTAGATTTATTAACAGTAAATGAATAATTATTAAATAATTATGCTAAATATTCTATTAATGATAATAAATTGAATTATATTAATATTCGACCTATAATTTTTCCGATTTTTCAGATCTTGGCAGTTCAGAACGATATGGTGACGCGATTTCTCGATGTGGATAGAGATCGGCAAAATAGACTCGAAAACAGACTGGATCATTTATTAAATGTTGTTCATACTGCAGTACTTAATAAGAACATAGAGGCAGAACGTAAGACTCCGTCATCACGTTCGTCATCGCCTCTACCAGAATCTGCGATAACTTCCTTACATCCACCTCCAAAACCTGGAATGGTTCCACCTAAGTTAGATTTAGTCCCTCCGAAACCTTGTCGTGTTCCTTGCACAATGCCAAACTCAAATGTTGAGTTAATTAATCATAATCCCATTTCAACTAGACCTGGTGTCATCTCCCCGGTTACTAGTCCAGGTCAGAAGTTCGGCACAATATGGTCGAAATTGGGTCCAGTATCTCAATCGCCGTTCGTGAAAGCTCAGCAACGGCTTGGTCTCCAAACTATTACAACCAACGACAATGTTCGGACACAATCTTCGGCGGAAAGACGTATTGTTAAAGAACTAGATAAACCAAATATGGATGTACGAAATTTGATCTATGAAACTGTTAAACTATTAGAGATGGAACGGCAACTTGAGGAGAAGATCGAAAATGCGCGACTGGAGATGACAATCGGCCAAACTTTGACCGCACGCAGAAGACTGTTCACGCAGCGTAAACCTACTCCTATTATGATATTAACTGCTGCATTTTTGGACGCCGAATGTTGCGCTTGTGAATTAGACCCATCCTATTACAACACATGGAATTCACGTAAAGAAAAGCTGAAATATGCTCAACGAGATAATCTTCTGGCTGGTCAGGGTGAGAACTATGAACGTATGTATCATTTGAACACCGTTCGACATGATTATGTTGATTGCGAGCCATGCGACTCTTCAACACCAGCAAAACTACCGTTATATAAACCCAATCACAATGTTGACGAAGTTGCTACATGTACAGGAGTTCCAAAACAAACTATTCAACAACTGGCGCGACTAGTGATGAATAGTACAAGGTGGCAAAATCCTCCACATAATCAACAAATCAGTTCGGTTCGTCAGACAATAACGTCGACGCAACCAATAAAGCAAAATGTGCTCGATATTGAATATAACGCAACATTTACTGCTCCTAAAGCGAATGTACCTTCGTTAGTTCCTGAAGAAAAACCGCAAGTATTTGCGAAAAATAATGACATAACACAACAGAAACAAAGCAGCTACAATAAAGTAATGTCAGAAAATGATTTACATGGCCAAACTAAATTTCCTATAGGCTTCACCACTGCTGTGCTAAATGCTAACAAGCAGGAAAGTATTTTTGTGTCAAAGCAAACTAACAACAACGAAGCAATGTCTAGATCATTGGAATTTATCGATAATCCGCAAACCGATCGTAAGAATAATGTTCGTTTTTTAGATAATGCGCTGGCTGAGTTACAGCGTATGTACTCCGATCGCCAAGTTGGTGTAGAAGATGTTGGTAAAATATTACCGTCCGGAATAACAGAAAATAACGGCAATAACGGTAATATTGCAATAACCACGCGTAATCGCAACATGATAGAACAGTATGTGAGCGATTTGATGATGTCAAAGAAACCAATTCATGACAAGGATGTAGATTCTGATAACGATGACGAGTTTCTTGATACTACCATGAGTATGCATCCAACATGCATATCTCGCCGAGGCTCATTCACGTCGAACGGCACAACCTCGGCCGAGACAGCTCGCTCCTTGAAATTCAATAAAGCGACAGGCAATAACTGTAGAATAAGTTAATTCTTTTACTAAAGCTGTAATAAAACAGACTGATGATTTTGACCAGTTTGTTTCTAATTTTTAATAATGTCTAATATCCTTGCTTTTGTTTTGTGTTTTTTTTATACTGCTTATTTTTTAATACTTAATAAAGCAATAGTTAATTATGGAATAAACCAAGAATAGATTTTTTTATCGGCAATAATAAGTTAACTGACACATCTGGCTAATCTATTTCTAGTTTTTATTCAATGTTCTCATTTCTGGTTTATATTCTTCATCATGTATCATTGACCAATTTTTTTATTATGACTTTATATTCTATATATAGGGTGTTAAATTTCAAACGTAACAGGTAAAAAATCTAGGTAGGGAAACTATGAAAGATATTAAAAAAAAGCTAAAATACGTGTTCCGCGATTTCGAAGGGGAAAGAGAATGGCATTATCAGTTTTTTATTTGGAGGGCATTTTCAAGGTCAATTGGAGGTCACTTAATTTTTTAAAATAGAAAGCTCAATTTTTTTATTATATCTTCTTTTTCTACTAATTAATTTGAACAACTTTTGTCTGAAATATTTTTTTATTTGCCTAATATTTTTTTAAATATTTAAGGAAAACTTGGTAACTTTTCCAACATTTAACTTACGATATCTCGCTAACTGTTCGTCGAAAGAAAAAATATTATTAGACTTTTTTATTTTACTTACTATCAAGAATATATTACTATAATAGTGCCTTAACTTTTATTAATTTATAGACCTTTGGAAATTTCAAAATTATTAAATTAATAAAAGTTAGGGCACTATTATAGTAATATATTCTTGATAGTAAATAAAGTAAAAAGGTCTAATACTATTTTTTTTTCGACGAATAGTTAGCGAAATATCGTAAGTTAAATATTGAAAAAGTTATCAAGTTTTCCTTAAATATTTAAAAAAATATTAGGCAAATAAAAAAATGTTTCAGACAAAAGTTGTTAAAATTAATTGGTAGAAAAAGATATAATAAAAAATTGGGCTTTCTATTTTAAAAAATTAAGTTGACTTTCAGCGGACCATAAAAATGCCCTCTAAATAAAAAACTGACAATGCCATTCTCTTTCCCCTTCGAAATCATGGAACACGTGTTTTAGCTCTTTTTAATATCTTTCATAGTTTTCAAGAGTTTTTACCTGTTACGTTTGAAATTTAGCTTCCTGTATATGTTCTTTCTAGACTTAATTAATTGAAGTCAATTCTTTTTGATAACTGTTCAATATTTAATTCATTCAACTTCTAAAATTAATATCTATACAGGGTGTCATTTTAATGTCCCACCCCAAATAACTCTTCAGTATTGAAGTTTCAAGGAAAATAATTTGAACAAAAGTTGTAAGAATTTAAGTGAATTTTTATGTTAGTATTTATGTTTTATGATGATCTTGACTTTGACTTTGACTTCTATTTTCAAGGTTATTAGAAGATCAATTTTTTTTTTAAATGGGAATCCTTATTTTTTATTACACTGTTTCTTTTTCTAGTAGTTAATTTGAACAACTTTTGTCTAGAACATTTTTTTATTTGTCTAATATTTTTTGAGATATTTGAGGAAAACTTGATAACTTTTTCAATATTTAACTTACGATATCTCGCTAACTATTTATCGGAAGAAAAAGACTTTCTTGCTTTATTTAGTCTCAAGAATATATTGTTACAACAGCGCCTTGACTTTTGTTAACTTACTGATTTTTGGAAATTTCAAAATCATCAAATTAACAAAAAGCAGAGCGCTATTGTAACAATATATTGTTGAGACCAAATAAAGCAAGAAAGTTAGTACCACTTTTTCTTCCGACAAATAGTTAGCGAGATATCGTAAATTAAATATTGAAAAAGTTATCAAGTTTTCCTCAAATATCTCAAAAAATATTAGACAAATAAAAAAATGTTTTAGACAAAAGTTGTTCAAATTAACCACTAGAAAAAAACAATGTAATAAAAAATAAGGGTTCCCATTTTAAAAACGCAAGTTGACCTTCTAATAACCTTGAAAATAGAGATCAAGGTCAAAGTCAAGGTCATCATAAGGTAGCTCACTTAAATCCCTACAACTTTTATTCAAATCATTTTCTTTAAAACTTCAAAAGAGTTATTTGGGGTGGGACATTAAAATGGGACACCCTGTATACAGGATGAGTCGAGAAGAGAAAAAAATATTATAGGAAATGATAATATAGGTCATTATAAAGAAAAAATTTATATAAACACGGTTAGTATTCTCGGTAGTTTTTTGGCGATACAGCTATTTAAATTATGTAAAAATATATACTATAATAACAAATTATACGTGCTACGTTCACAACGAATGCTCAACAATAGAACCGTGAATTTCAATACGTTTCATAACTTGTATCCTAAAATGACGAGTTGTTTCTTTGATCTTGCCGTTTCTTATAAGAGTATCAGCATTTGGATGCCATACAAGTTATAAACTATAATGAAGTTTACAGTTTAATTGTTGAACATCTATTGTAGACATAATACGTATAATTCATTATTATTGTATATACTTCTACAAAATTTAAACTGTATTACTGAGAATACTAACCGTGTTCATATAAACTTTTCCTACAATTACTTATACTATCGTCTCCCAAAATATTTTTCTCCTCTCTTGACTCATCTTATACAGGGTGTCAGGTAATTAGCTGCCAAGGCAAAGTATGAAGGTAAATTGGTTTAAAACAAACATAAAAGTCCCATACCGTTTTGCGAGATTCGCAATAATTATCGAGTTATTAATTATAGAAATCTGACGAATGAGCGCACGTTAAGATGGATGATTGGAGAAGCATTGCAGCCACTCGAGTTACAACGTGGCCCAGTCGATCCAGCAATTGTTGGCGTGCCGCGAGACGTAAGTGCAGCGAGTTAAAATAACGAATAGCAGCGCGTTGTCCTTCCCCTCGCTGCGCACTGGCAGCAATTTCTAAATCGACTGGGCCGCGCTGTGGCCTGAGCAGCTGCAACGCTTCTCCAGTCATCTATGTCGGCGCGCTTCCACTCCTCAAATTTCTGTCATTAATAACTTGATAATTATTTTAAATCTCGCAAAACGGTATGGGACTTTTATATTTGTCTCAACTTAATCTACCTTCACACTTCGGGTTGGCAGCTAATTACTGGACATCCTGTATACAGGGTGTCTCAGAACAAATTTTATAAAGCTCGTGGAGATATAGAGCAGGTCTAAGGTTGAAAAAAACATAAAAGTCCCATACCGTTTTGCGATATTCATGATAATTAACAAGTTATAATGACAGAAATCTGAAAAGTGGGCGCACCCCAAGATGGATAATTGAAGAAGCGTTGTAGTCGCTCGAGCGTTGCTGGGTCAACTGGGTCGCGCTGTAACCCGAGAGGCTGCAACGCTCTTCCAATCATCCATCTCAACGCGCGCTCATTCATCAGATTTCTGTAATTAATAATTCGATAATTATTGCGAATCTCGCAAAACAGTATGGAACTTTTATGTTTGTCTTAACCCAATCTACTTTTACACTTCAGGTTCGCAGCTAATTACGGACACTCTGTATATAAAAGACTTAGTAATAAAAATATTAATAAGAAGTGCCTTTTTCCTATCAATAAAAAATGTCAACATATAAAAATTGATAGTAACATTTTTATCTATATAGTAAGAATAACAATGTATTTCTGTTACAAATAAATATATAAATAATATGTAATATAAATAATTATATCACTCCTGCGCAATAATATTCCTAATAAACTGTTCAATATTTTACTTTATATGTGCAAATAGTCATTTTTAACGTACTTTTGGTCCCTAAATACAAATGCGTTATATAAATTTGACTTAATCCATGGCTGTATTCCGAATTGCGTCCACTGGGTTAATAGTGCGCTTCCGTTTTCTAACTGTTAGTTCTGTCTTATTTTAGGGTAGATAATCCTAAAGAGTGTTCAATCCTAAAAATCAGTCCAGTTTAATCTGCAATAAAATAATCAAAATTGTATAATAAATTGTATAATAAAATTGTATAATAAACTGCAATGGAAAGAATAAACATTTAATAAGATTTTATAAAATTAATTGAATGAAAGAAAATAATATTTCATTTATATACAAAGTTTTCCAAAAGTAACGGACGTCCCCCACTTATCTCAGAATCTATGCTTTATAGGGAAAAATGACACGAACAAAGTTTTAGGGTTCATAAAATTCTGTTTTTTATGACCTCAAATTTGACCCTGACCTCGACTTTGAAGTCAACTTGCGTTTTTTAAATAGGAATCTTTTAAATAGGAATTAAATAGGAATTTTTATTATACTTTTTTTCTACCAATTAATTTGAACAACTTTTGTCTAAAACATTTTTTTATTTGCCTAATATTTTTCAAGATATTTGAGGAAAACTTGATAACTTTTTCAATATTTAACTTACGATATCTCGCTATTTGTTGGAAGAAAAAGTGGTACTAGACTTTCTTGCTTTATTTAGTCTCAAGAATATATTGTCATAATAGTACCCTGGTTTTTGTTAATTTGATGATTTTGAAATTTCCAAAAATCAGTTTTCCAAAACAACGTTTTGTGTTAGAGATAGTGCTCTTTCTAGTCACTTATTTATTTATAGCAAATATATTTATACAAAGTTTATAAGGCCATCTGTATTTAATAATTCAAAAAAAATTATTCTTTGAATAATTATGTCTATATACAGTAGCAGAGTAATTCCCTGGAAAAATAATATACTATGGAACTTATCATTTTGTTTACGAACATTTGTTTGCAGAACTGGTTAAATATTTTTTTCTTTAACGAAGTTCGAAACATAGCCAACAATGAAAGAATATATTTATTATATTTCTGAATAATTGTCAAAAGATAGATAGGTTTTTCTTTATTGAATGTCAGATATGTTTCGAAATGTCACAAAAATATATAAAAACCATTCTGCAAACTAATGAATAGTAGTAGAATAAAATCTACTTTATATTCAAGATATAAAGTGATATATGTATATGTGTGTAACCAGCAAAATTTTTCTATGTTGTTGCTGAATAGCTCAATCTTTAATATGTACCATAGCATAAAAATGTTAACGATACAATATTTCTACTAAAGTTTAATTCAAATACTATTTTTTCTTTCATAAATTGTACCTAAGAAACTAAACACTGCAGATTCTTAATAAAAAATTAATTTAGTTAATTGTGTGCAATATAAGACATGGTATAGTAATATTAATATTCAATTATATATAATATTCAATTTACATTTATCTTAAAATATCTTATTCTTTGATTTGAACATCTGTTCTGGTATTACTTTACGATGCCCATGCTTCTAAATCTTTCAAATCATCATCTTCTTCTGCTGCTTTAGCTTCTGCAAAGAAAAATTTAATATTTAACATACTTCTTGTCTTGTGTTATAAATTATATGTGTATGTACCATTTTTATAGTCCAATTAAAATTAAATTTTATAATAAATTATTTTTAACTATCTTTATAATGAAAATATATTAAAAAAGTAATAATTACTTGTACGATTTTTGCTTGGTACAGCAGGAACTGATGTTGGTACTGCTGGCAGTTCATCAGCTGTAGTATCATCAATACCAAGCAATTCTTTGTCAAGCTGTTCTTGTTGAAGTTCTTCTAACTCCTTTTCTAGTTCATCTTCATCAGCATCTTGGCCAAATGCTACTGGATTAGATATTGCATCAGAAATTTCTCTAGCCACATCTTGTTGTTCTGCTATGTCATCCATCATATCATGTACTTGATCAACATCCCTAAAATAAAAATATAAGGTATAAAATTTATCATTACTATAAAGTATAAGTTTAGCTTATATAAAATATAATTAACCAAATTTATTATGTTGCAGTTTTATAATTGATAATACACATATTATATATATTACCAGTCATAAAAAGCAATCTGCTTATGATTTTGCTTATTACAAAAGCAAAATAGCTTACATATGTTGATGTGCAGCCTTCATCGCATCTGCAGCACCTTTCATAGTAGTAAGAACAGCAGTATTTGTATTTGCACTTTCTAATGCTTCTCTCTGCATTTCAATGGTGGATAATGTACCATCAATCTGCTGTAATTGTTTTTCATATCGTTTCTTCCTTTTAAGTGCTTGGATAGCAGCTAGATAATAAACGATATTTTTTGACATTTAATCAAATTTGTGTATATATACATATATATATGCAAGCACAGCAGTTTGTGACAAATATACATGGTTATATAAGAAATAAAAATTAAAAGATGTTAATATATTACATATATTAAATAAAGCACATGATTCAATGTAATACATAGCAAGTTGTATAAATAAAAGTATAATAAACGGAATGATGATGCTGAGGATGACAACTCAATTGTACAATTAAGCATAAAATTTAAGGAATATACTATAATTCATGGGAAAACGGAATCATACCTCGTTTGTTCTTCGATGCATTTTTCTTAGCTATTAACACCTCATTATCTATCTTGCTCTCTAGGAATTCCTGTTTTTTTATTAGCATATCCTCTGTCTCACGTAGCTTCTGAATCGCTTCGGCTGTTGAAGGAGCGGCTGGCTCTTTCTTACCACCAAAAACTTTGCTGAAGAAGCTCATTGCTTCTTATGTCTCTTTAATCTGTCAATACTTCACTATGTTGTACGCCAAGATTACCAATGGATTACTCACTCTGCTACGAGATCACAATCGCCATATTTCATTCGCATTTATAATTTAAGGGTCTACAGGAGCCATACTAGAGACCTCTCGCGGAGACCCGCGATTTATATGTATGATATTTGCAATCAGAAGAAACGTCCGCAGGATCGTACAGAACGCTTTTTTGGAAAAAAAGTCGAAATAAAAATCGATTAAATAATTTGAATAAACGTTTATCCCGCGGTGCAACACAAGCCTATATTTTCATTTATTACAAATTTTCAAGATCCTAAATGCAAAATCGGGCTTTGCGCGATCCTAGATACTAATATAAGGAAGATGCCCATGTAAGTCTGATAAGCGAATATGATGGCTGCGTGGCAAAATATCATTTGGAGCAGATAACACGGAAAGTGTAGCCTAGCTGCACTATGGTGCAGTCTATATGACCAGAGAGAAACTTGAAAGCGGCTAGCTCGTGAGAAAATTGACTAATCATTATCGATTTCTTCTCAACCGCAAGGAGAATAATCAATTGTGATTGGTCAATTTTCTTAAGATCTAAAGCCAGCGGCACACGATGCTTATTTTCGTGCTGGATTGCTTGCTGGATGAAAATACTGCGTTCTGATTGGTGCATTTTCATCCATCTTCGAAAATATACCAATCATAATGCAGTATTTTCATCCAGCAAGCAATCCAACACGAAAACAAGCACCGTATGTCGCTGGCTTAAGACTTTACGATTTTTATGTAGGCGAGGCATTAAGGCCCATCTACAATGGCTGCAAGAATAAAGCTAAGACTCCATGCATGCGGTGAGCTCCGGCAAACGGTTGCGGTGACCAATCAGGAGACAGACGCATGCCGGAGCTTGCCGCAACCGGACTTGCGCCTCCCTCCTGATTGGTCACCGCAGTATTTGCCGCAGCTCACCGCATGCATGGAGTCTTAGCTTAAGGTTGTAAGCGTAAGCAGTAAAGGTCATTCTACAATGCGTATCGTAAGTTGTAAGCCGTAAAAATTGGCGAATCACAATCAATTATTATAAAAATAATCAGCCATAATTGGTCAGTTCTTACGGCTTACAACTTACGACACGTATTGTAGAATGACCTTAAAGGTCATTCTACAATGAGGTTGTAGTAGTACGCAGTAGGCAAATTGACCAATCACAGTCGATTTTTCTTCGATCGTAAAGAGAACAATCGATCGTGATTGGTCAATTTGCCTACTGCATACTACTACAACCTCATTGTAGAATGACCTTAAGGGATCGTCTACAATAAAAGTCGTAGAGTCGTAAGTCGTAGAAATTGATCAATCATAGTCCGATAAGAGAAAAATAATCGACCGCGATTGGTCAATTTGTACGACTTACGACTCTATGACTTCTATTGTAGACGAGGTATAAGAAATGGACCAACTATAATCGATTATAATAATCGATTGTGGTTGGTCTATTTCTTACTGCTTACGCTTAGAACCTTATGGCTCCTGCACACAGGACGCGGAAACGCTTGCCGCGCGGCGGAAGTCAGCACGGTAGCCAATCAACGTGCCGCTATTCTGTAATAAACTTCCAGCTCTTGAGGAAAGCAGGACATTGATTGGCGATCGCTCCAACTTCCACCGCGCGACAAGCGTTGCCGCGTTCTGTGTGCAGGAGCCATTATTCTTGCAGTCATTGTAGATGGACCTTTAAAGTCCGATCCAGAATAGGTTGCTAAAGCCCGTGTCACACTACGGATTGAAGATCAAGGATTGCAGATTGAAGATTGAAATTTGACCAATCGGAATAAAGCAAATCGAAACCGAAGTTCGTTGATTTGTCGAAGTCTAATCTTCAATCCGCAATCCTTGATCTTCAATCCGTAGTGTGATATGGGCTTAACACCCAGGGATTCGATTCTTGACGGCGTGCGAATGAGATGCGCATACGAAAATCTATATTATATGTAACGTGAACTGTATATTTTCGCATACGAGTCTCACTCGCACGCCGTTAGGAATCAAACCCCTGGGGGTCGATTCTTGACGGCATGCGAGTGAGATGCGTATGCGAAAATATACAATTCACGTTATTATAATATAGATTTTCGCATGACCATCTCATTCGCACGCCATCAAAAATCGAGCCCCTGCAGTTGCGAGTTACGAAGGATGGCAACTACTAGTTACAAAGTGCTCTTTTCGGTTAAAGACAATTGCGATTGCTGGTTGCCGTCGTCAAGAAGTTAAAAGCAGAGAGGAACCTGCAGCTGGATTCTGTAACTCGTTCGTGGAGTTAACTTTCGTTATCACCACTGGGGCTGGTAAAAACAGAGTGCTTCCTTTTCTACGAGAGTTATATCCCTACTCCTCGAACACGCAGTCTAGATATACCAGAGAGAAACCTGAAAGCGGCCAACATAACATTTTCTGCGACACCGACTTTCCGCACGGAAAGGACGCCATCTGCATCCATTTTGAGAGGGTAACTACGATGCTACATCCACTTTCAGGTCTCGGTGGTAAAATCTGCACATAGTGGAAGAAATCCGTGCTACATCCATTTTCAGGCGCTTTATGTCCGTGCTGCAACCACCATTTCTTGCCATCTCTATATAAAATACTCTATATAAAAAAAAATACATTGCTCGAAACAATCAGGGGATTACCTGATTGATAGCCTGCATTAATACCAGATTTAAAATACTGAATGATTCTCTTTTGATGTTCATTTGAATAAGAGATATTCATGTCTACAAACGCGATACCGTCATCAGCTGCTTTATTTTCATTTTTCAAGCGGGCCGCAAAATTATTTAACGACAATATTTGACAATATTCAATTGTCCATGTAAAATATATTCATACGTATAAATGCCGATACTGTTGGCTACTTTTCTTTTATTTCCAAAACAGGCTGTAAAATTATTTGGCAATATTGTCCATTCATCACGATCCCTATTGTCTCGAGTAGCGTATAATGCACGCAGAAATTGCGCCAACGCACGCTGAGCTTGAGGTACCCTCGCTCGCGTGCCTTTGAATATCGCGACCGCGGTTACCAATATAAGCGTTTTTATCCGTTAACATCCTGCTAACACAGTATCCTGCTAACAATGGAAGCTTAAATCCTCATTTCGCTAAAGTATTGCGAACGTAAGCTTGGTCGTGACGGAACTATCATGCGTGAAAACTTTGCTCCGTTCTCTTTCTCTCTCTCTTTGCGCTCTTTCGAAGTGACCCGTTTCTGATTGTCTAATCTTTCCTCGCATGCATTCGCGAATATTCTCGTACATATCGATACTCCCGCATTTTCGCGACTTTTCAGACGAGATCGCGAAAAACGCCGTAAAAATCTGTTGGACGAGTCGATAAATTTTCACACGGCTCTTGCCCCTCGCTGATCGAGTTTGTAGAGTCCGTTTCGCAGCGCGTAAAAAGTTTCCGCCGATGTCGACGTAAAACATTCGTTAATTGACGCAAATATCGCCGCTCTCATACAAGTATCGACCGCGTCGCGGATGTGTGGCGAAAATGTAGCAATCAACATAGGACGCGCTGCAAGATGCTGCGCGACATGAAGAGCGGCAACAAACATGGGCAGACATTGATGGACCTGGTTGGATGCAACGAGACATCATCAATATCATCATCGGTGAGCGTTTGACTCATTGCTCGAAGAGAGCTCTTTTATTATTACATTGTGCATGCCGCAAATTTGCATTGACTTTTGTAACGAAAAATATAATTCATGAATTATTGCCATATATTATGGCCATATATTATTGCCATATATTGTTGCCATATATTGTTGCCATATATTGTTATCGTATATTGTTGCCATATATTATTGCCACTTATTGCCATGTATTATCGCCATATATTATGGCCACTTCAAAACGCGCGAGCAATCGAAAAAACTATGAAATTGCTGAGAATCGCAAAGGCGCGCGGCAGACGTCATGGATGGATGCCAGCAGCCCGTGTCAGGGCTGCCCGATAGCAATGCTGATGTTGCGATTTAACTTTAAACCATAGCAGCCTCCGGTCGCTTTCTATCGCAGATTAACCCCTCGAGCGGAACGTTCTCGAAAAGTGCTCTTGACATAAACACTGGTTATAAACGAACTTGACTCGTTAGCGCCTCGTTACGGTATTGTCACAGAAAATAAGGTAGAAAGGAGTTAAACATCGGTACCGTTGTGAAAAGAGGGGCGATGGCGCCCCTTCGCGAATGGAATGTTAGGCTCTTGCGAACGCGAGTGTTAAATTCCACCGCGGTTGCGAACGTCTCCTGACTAGTTTCATCGCGAAAACTGAAACTTCATAACACGCGCTTGATCGTGCGTTGAGACTGTCGAGGGTGGGGGATTGAAGAGAATGTTGATGATATAAACGTGACAAAGTAGTCGCATATTCCATGATCGCTCTTTAAAATGAGCGCTTCTTTCGTCGGTGATAAAGACGGGAAGAAATCAAAGCCTGCTGATGAGGTCATAAAAATAGCACGGATTCTCCTTCGGCAGCTGCACCCCTGACTGTTTAATACGCATTACGATCATCTTTGCGGATAAGTATGCGGGAAATAACATTCGACATCTCCTTAAAGGCTTGAGATACAGGAACGCGCTTTTGCCATAATATAATCCTATATCAACACTATTCTTACAACAAAACTCGACTTTCAATTCACAGTAAAAGCGGAGATATTAACGGTACAAGTTGAAAAAATTTAACCTTCGATATCTCCTAAACGGCTGGAGATACAGGCCCGTTTTTTTCACCAAAATATAGTCCTGTAAAAACTCTACATTCACCATAAATTTCGACTCTCAATTCCCAGTAGAAGCGGAGATATCAACGGTACAAATTGAAAAATTTTAACCTTCGATATCTCCTAAACGGCTAGAGATACAGGCCTGTTTTTTGCACTAAAATATAGTCCTTTAAAAACCCTACTTCCACCATAAATTTCGACTCTCAATTCCTAGTAGAAGCGAAGATATCAACGGTACAAGTCGGAAAACTTTAACCTTCAAAATCTCCTAAACGGCTAGAGATAGAGGCCTATTTTTTTTCACCAAAATATAGTCCTGTAAAAACCCTACATTCACCATAAATTTCGACTCTCAATTCCCAATAGAAGCGGAGA